CTGTACTCGAGCCTTCCGAACGTAGATCTGGTGTCGGGTCACAGCCTTGGTGGTCATTTCCCGTTTTTTCCTTTGCTTCCGTATCTCCGTAAATCTGTCCCCCAGCACTCATAGCACATCCCAAGCATGCTTACCATTTCCAACAGGAGCCTCCCTCCCACCCTCGTGGCTACTTTGTCCAAAGCGGAAAAAAATATGCTACTAGGAAAACTTGCGCCTTTCAGTTCCCAATGGAAAGTCATGAAACAGAAAGGGAGAAGTGCTTCTGAGCTCGTATTACTTAGAATCCGATACATAGTACCCATAATATTCGCAATTTTTTGTTCTCTGGGTCCGAAGGAGTCAAAATTCTTGGTGATCATGAATTTTGGCTTGTCCGGGCTTTCCCTGATACTCTCGGCATTCTTGAATTTGTGCATTGAAACGATCTCAGTCGTTTCATCCAGTATGAAAATTCTTCTCTCGAGGAAGTTAACAATCCCCAGGCCAAAATTTGTACGTTCTAGTCTCAAATCCTCATGATAGCACGTGGTAATCTTATCCATTGTTTGTTCAATCTTCCTTCGGCTTGATGGATCATTTCTCGCATATAGACCTAGAAGGAGTAGGCCATCGACATACCTTTTACCGAGGAGGCATCTCTTATCTTTTCCCAGCGTCCTAAGAAATTTCTCCTCGGCATACATACACACCAACGCAGCTAGTGGGGGGCTAGCCTGTCCTCCCATTGGGATACCTTTATCCTGTCTCAAAATAGTACCGGCAGACTTAAAGAAAACATGATCCAACAAAAACCCGGTTAGTTTCTTGAGGTCGCTCAGTCTTATCGATTTCCAACCTTTCTCACCCACTGCTTTCCCGAGTGTTGCTCCCTTACCGTGTGTTTTACCTCTTACCCAATATTTCCCTTTATCTCTGAATTTTGAGAAAATCCACTTGATGGTCGCCCTCACTTCGCTGTGTGGAAATTTTGAAAACATTTCCTTAATATCGTACGTCCGAGCAATAACCCCCACGTCATCCTTTTGGGCACGCTCGTTGACAGCAGAAAGATACACTGTCAAGTCACTGCCTGATACTAGATTGAAGTGTTCTCCCTTCATTGTTCTTATCATCAGGTTCAGTGCTTTGACCAGATTATTACTCGCAAATCTGGCTGGATTAGCGAAGGAAGGACAAATTGGTCTTTTCTTGTCTAGATCCTTTTCTTTGCTCATAATAAATGCGTTCTGAAGTCTTCCTCTGCTGTCCCACCGCCCAATTTTTTCCAGCTGTAGTTCCTTGAACTTCAGTCTCATTTTCCGGCATACATCCCCTTCGGATTCACAAATCTTCACGAAGTCCAGATTGTCATTAAAGGTTCTTTTCATACTGTTGCAGTACATCATTGGGCACTCGATGAGTGTTGCGCCCGGGTTCCGATCCAAGGGGGAGAGGGCCAATCCTTGGAAGGCCCCTCTCACTCCTAGGACATATTCACATGTTATGGCTTTGTCTGGTATTGGGGGCCCCACTCGACAGAGCTTTCGTGGTGAGATCTTACAGTCACCAGTAACCCCTGCCTTGCGGAGCTCCTTCACAGCCAATTTGTAGGCTCTGTTTATGATGCTCAGAGTCTCAATACGACCTCGGTATGGTACATTCCGCGAATTGAACAGGAAAGAATCAACTTCCGGGACATCACTCAGTCTGACCCGTACATGCCCATCAACTTTGGGCAGTTCGAACCTGTGGCATTCACAGTCAAGGATTCTCGGCCGCGATAGCCTTATGGTTATGCAGAAGGTCCGCGACAGTCTTGGCTTTCGTCGAGACAACGTGCAACTTCCTTTGCATCAGGTCAGCGAGTTCCGGAGGTTTGATTCTTTCACTGATCCATTCACAGACTCCACTTCTTACACATCGTTTATCAATATTCGGACAAAAATGAATTTTTACAACTATTCTCTTCCTTGGGTTGAATCCGAGTCTTTTTTTTAACTTTGTAGCAATCAAGCTGCGAATGATTTGCCTTCCTCTCCTACCATCCACACTCTTCAATCCCTTCAACATTCCGAGCAGGCCGACGATGTCTTTCCCCCGAAGTGTGCTTCTGCGTTTCCATGGTGCCCTCAACAGTGTAATGATCTCAGATTTCTTTCGATCGTATTCTGATTCAGTCCTTACGAGGCAATACAAGTCCCATTGGCCACCCTGTTCAAACATACTTTTCATATCTTTAAGAGTGTAACATCCCGTGGAGTCAGAAAACTTAGAATCCCCGTACACCAAACTCACAAGTCGCCATGAGCATACCCATTGTGTACCCCCCTGACACGAGATGTGAACCGGTCGATTCTTACCTTTAGCGAATTTCAGGATATTCAACAGATTACCAGTTAGTTCATTCTTCGTAAGATCTGAAGAAAACAGAATAGGAGTCCATACTTCAGGTGCCCTGGGACACTTGCGTATTGCTTTCCTATTTTTTCGAGGTCTGCTTCGCACTCTATTCTTCTGACTGTTAAGACCGGGATTCTCACTCTTAATAATTTTATCTTCCATTTGCAGCAGGTCCCCCTTTCTTCCTGACCACAACGGAATAGCCGTATAGGACTCTATTCCTTGCTTATTCATCCATTTATGCACTTTGAAAACCGGTTCTCGTATGGCGGTGTGGGTGTGTTCGTTCCACCTATCTGCCAGAGTTCTACCGGTCTGTCCAACATAAACTTGTCTACAAAACGGTGAAATGAGGAGGTACACACACATGATCGGGCCTTAGTCGGGTCCACTAGGCAGTCCCAGTTCATCCCAGTCCAATATTTAGTGTAAGTGCGTCCCCATCTAATGTAGCCAAGCAAGCGGGAGAGCAAAGTGCCTATCCGGAAAGCACATTCAAGTTCTGTCCTTGAGGAACCATCGTAACGAGGAATAGCGGCACGAATCCTCCGAAGTATCCTTGTCAGACTGCGTTTTGACAGGATCTAGTTCGCTTGGACTCCCTCCGAACCATCGCCATCCGTACCGCCACCATCTTCCTTATCCGAACTCGATTCGGTGTCGGCGTCCCCTCCGTCTTCTCCATTAATAAGCTTAGTGAATTCGTCACTATCCTGTTTCGCCAATTCCCATGCTCCCTTATCCTTCCGCTCCCACTTGATCCCTCTCTTGGTGCAGAGGCTCTAAACCTTCTTCCCGTTCATGTCCATGTAGTGTTCGAGCCTCTGGCGCATGTACTCCATAATACCAGTCTCGTTCCTGCCCCTGTTACCGTGTCCCCTGTTGACCAGTAGTTTGTTTGCATCTTCGTCGGACTCCTCGCTCTTACCATCCGTAGTCTCAGTGTTGTGCACAGTGTTGGCCTTAGTCGCATCTGCCCCCTCGCCCTTCTCAGTTCAGGAGGCATCCTCAAGATTAACTTTGTTGGCTATAATAGCCAACATCTTCATGACATCATCGAGCTTTACTGGCTCATCGGTGCGGTCGCTTGGTTCACCTTCGATCTTCGTTCTCTGCGGGGCGCTGTTCTTGTCTTCATCATCGGACGAAACCAAAATGCTTGGTTGTCGGATCTTAATGCCGCCGCTGCGTGACCGCGACCTCGACTTCTGTCTTTCCGGTAAGGGTGAGTTCGCGTTGATGACTCGTTTCCGTTTCTCGTTGCTCCCGGCGTCCTCGTTATGACCTGTGTCTAATTCAGCGACCTTCTGCATAAGCTTCACTCGTTCGTGATCGGCTTCCTTCGTCTTCTTATCCACTTCGTCCAGCTTATCCGCAATCTTCTTGAATGAAGCGCCGAAATTTGTGGCCATCCAATTCTTCAGTCTCTGCTCGCCATCCTCGGACTTCGCTTTCCCTTTTGCCTTCCTCGTGTTCTCGCTCTTGCTGCACTCTCCAGATTCTTCATTCTTTCGTTTCGAATCTTCGAGCAGGTCTCTATTCTTCCATCTCTCAATGAGCTCCAAGTGCTCACGAGTGAACCAGGCCCTATTACCTGGGCCTGGAAAGGCATTTGCGGCTGGACCTTGCTTTTCTCTCTCCCTCGCAGGCGGAGGGTAGCTCATCGCCCCTTGTTGCCACGTCGAAGGTGGCGGCAGTTGGACCAGAGGAGTAACCCATCCGTATGGATACAGGGGATACGCCACTGGTGGAACTACCCCTGGTGCGGGAGACGGGCTGGGCTGCGCAATCGCATTAGTGGCTGGAGGAGTATTTTGGTACTCCATCCAGTACCTATTACAGCCCGACCACCTTCCTCGTCCCCTGCCCCGACCTCGACCTGCTCCTCTTGCGTACATGCAGGAGTATCTTGGATTGCGCTCGCCTGATCGTTGAAGTCACCTTGATCGCTCGCCGGTCTTCGCTTCGATCGCCGCTGGTCTTCGCTTCGATCTTCGTCGCCAAACTTCGTCAGCCCGTCCCGATAGGTGAATACGAATCGCGCCTCAGATGTGACACGATCGAATGAAACATGTCCAGATCCTCGACTTGCGACGTCCTCAACACCGGGTGCGTCGATAGGACGGAGAAAGCAATACGTACACGCTGGAAGCAGACATCGAGAGTCCAGGCCTCGATTCTGCGAAGTCCTCAACACCTGGTGCGTTGATAGGACGGAGATAGCGGCACGCACGCGCTGAAGAAACCAGACATGAAGATTAAAAGCACATAGTGTTGATAATGCAACAACAAAGCACATGCATCATATCCAATGGGATGCACGGCACTAGACGAGCGTTTCCCGAGCACAACCACAGGGTCGTTCGTCTAGATCACGCATAAGATAGAAATTTACAATGCAGTTTAGAGGCTTACATCTCGTAGCATAACCACATCGTATCGTAGCGTGAAGAAAATCACGCTACAGACCTTCTCCTCTGCTACTCAGTCTGTGTCGAGAGCTGCAGCTCTACTTCAACAAGTACTATCGCATCTACGTAGATCGTACCTCGGCGTCTCCGCCTGGGCACTATCTGTATCTCTCCCCAAGAAAACTCACCAACACCTGGTAACCCGTACCTCGAAGTTCCCGCTTCAGTCCGGGTTTTCTCAGATGTGGGTACATTGCATCTACTAAAAAAACAAAGCCGGTTCCACAGAGTTACCGCCTGTAAAAAATCTGTATCTGCCAAAAGGACCGGTGGCCAGTACCTCGACGTTCCCGCCTAAGCGAGGGTAGCTCGGTACTCCAGTCCAAGTTTTGCAGACATAGTCAAAAAAACGTTACTGTACTCTGTTACCAGGACCACGCGGTATCGCGTGGAGCTAGGAATCAAACGACAAAATAAAAAAAAATAAAAAAAATAAAAAAAATAATAATAATAATAATAATAATAATAAATAAAAAGGAAAAAAGAAGAATGACGATTTCATAGGCTGGCAAGCGGCTCAGATCCAGGACCTGTCTTGATCCGATCAAGTCCATCAGGTTACGATTCGTATTCACTGGCGCCGGGCTGCCAGTCGCCGATCCTCTTGTCTGTACTCGAGCCTTCCGAACGTAGATCTGGTGTCGGGTCACAGCCTTGGTGGTCATTTCCCGTTTTTTCCTTTGCTTCCGTATCTCCGTAAATCCGTCCCCCAGCACTGACAAATGGATTACTCGCACTGAGTTAAATGCAGACGGCACATCATATAGCTGCCCAGCACCAGAGGCAACTACCAGGCAGTAAATGTTGCGGCTGACTCTAGAGTCTAACACCACCCTCCGCACAGCCCCTGACCTAGCTGGACGACGCTTTCTGGCCAGTACGCAGACCTCCGCCCCCCCGGGCCTACGTGCATGCTCTGACCGGGCAGTCGCACACACGGACCTCCCAAAGGACAACTTTTTGGTACGACTGATAAAGGACTGGAGAAGGCTCCCGCTTCCCAACAGACCTCCGCCGAGCAGGGGGAGGAGCTGGTCCGCCAGCCCCTCTTCGGGAACCGCTGGGTAACGGACTAACAAGGGAGGGTCTTCCCTAGTTTGGGTGGTCCCTGGAGCTCCTGGGTGCAAAGTGGGGCGACAAAGGTGGGACATCTATGGGACAGTGAAGGTAAAGACTGGGCGTCTGAGCAACAACTTAAACAGACATTGTCACACTGCCACAATGTTGGTGAAAGGTTGGAGGAGACTCTCGTCTCCCTCCCCCTAGCATAGGTGCAAATACTTCGGTGGGGAACTACCCTTCAAGAAGGCGACTGGGTGGCGGCGAAGGGGGGGGGAGGTTTGAGTAACAGACAGAGGCTCTGGTGAACCTCTTGCAACAGGATCAACAAAACCACCTGTCTAGAAACACTCCGAACGAAGTAGCCTGGATCGATAACACGCTGGTCCACCGGATCACAGCGCTTAGAGAAAAGGACTCTTGGGTGGCATTCAGGCCAGAACTTCCCGCCCAGGACCTCACCATAGACGCGAAGGAGTGGAGATGGTGAATCCCTTCAATGAACACGCAACCCAAGTTCCGCTACCTTAACACGTTGGGAGTCAAGGCGACCTGCCGGCTGAAGAGGACCAGACCGAACGTACATGATAGAGTAAGAGACCAGTGGGAAAGCCACCTAAACCTGTCACAGGAAGTGCTCAGACCAATCCAGTGGTTCAAGGCAGTAAAGAGCAAACTAACCAAGCTTGCCTCGCTCCAATGGCAGATAGCCCACCGTGCCTACCTACAGACACCTGGCTTATTGATCATACACACCTAGAGCAAAAAGGGTCGGCGCTGCCCTGGTGCCCAGCCTGCAAAGAAGGTTTCCCCTCATGAAAGGTTAATGGAAAAATAGAGGACATATTCCTTCGATGTCTGTCGGCATTTCTTACCTGGCGATGGTAGACCTGAATCTAGAACAAGACCTTGCGAATGGCCCTGGGAGTGGAGGGCGTTGCTGTGTGGGCACTGGACAGCCCAAGCCTTCACAGCAAATCTGATCAACGTAGGAAGAAACGCGGTCCTTTTGGCCCTCTGGTGGTGTCGCTGCACCTTGGCCATTGAGAGAGCAGATACGAGGGTTGAGGAAACTACCGATACAGTCAAAAGCATCATCGAGACTGAAATCAGGGCTGGGTGGAAGAAAGCAGTGCAAAAATGAAACCTCTCTTCAAAAAATCAGACATTGTTCAACACATCAAGGGGTTCCGAATGGGCTGGCTCGGGGGGGAACGAGGGGGGGTGAAGGTATGACGGGGGTCCAATGGGAGGGCTGGCATTTGGCAGATCAGCAATGACTGGATGCCCCCCAGACGAAACAATTGGCCATGCTCCAAAGGATGGACTACAATGGGAAATGGCATCCCGCTCCCCCCCCCCGTCGTATCTCTCAGACTTTTTCCCTCTCCTGAGTCACACCCTGGTTGGGCTGGGCTGGTTTCGCAAGGAGCAGGAGGTGCCCACGAAGCAGAGCCAGGGAGGGGCTGGGTAAGATCGGTGAGCCGGGAAAGGGGGGAATTAGGCACCAGCCTCCGGTCGCCCCCTGGAGGCTTGCGCCTGCCAGCGTTCCCCCACCGCTACCTCGCTCAAACCCCGCTTGGCGTTGTCTCTTTTTTTTTTTTTTTTTTTTTTTTTTTTTTTTTTTTTTGAAATAAGGCCCTTGTGGAAGGCCTCTATCCTGGTGGTGGTAAGAGAACCACCGGGATTGAGGCTTTGCCTGGCGGGCCGCTCCATCTATTAATGGGGAGCGTCACCTGCTGGAAACAGGGTCCAGCGTCCCTTAAATAACACATTGACATACAGTACATCATAAGACGCAACGCCATTGCTGGAAACCAGGTCCAGCGTCCCATATCAGGTCAATTCTGCCAACCAACCCTGCAGCCGGGCCGGGTAATGGGGGGGGGCACTGGGGGGCACCAGTGTAATCTCCCTCCTATCCCTATCCCCTGCCAACCATCGACTAACCTCAGGGCGTCTGTTGTATTCATCTGCTGAGCATGATTGAGAATGTGCTTGAACAGGGCAAGGGTGAACAGCAAAGGACAAAAAAATGTATCCATCTGCTGAGCCTCTACTGAACATGACTGAGAATGTGCTGAACGAGGCAGGGAAAGACAGCAGAACAGCAGAAAACAGCAGAAAACAGCAGAAAACAGCAGAAAACAGCAGAAAACAGCAGAAAAACAGTAGAAAAACATCAGAAAAACAGCAGAAAAACAGCAGAAAGTAGAAAAAGCAAAAAAGCAGAAAAAAGTAGACAGAGTAGAGTCTGCTGAGAGTATACTGAGTGTATACTGTGAGCTGAGCTGCGACAAGCTGTGACCAACTCGATCCAATCCACCCGGCATCCCGGCTCATGAAAGTGACAGTACTTCTACCAAGGCCAACGGGTGGGGGGGGAAGGGGTCTGCGAAGTCCTGGGCTGGTCGTAGCGGGTCACCGGGGTCTACCTTGATCCAGTCGTGAAAAATCAACTGATAATCTCTTACCATTTCCGCCTGGGGTTCCTCCTGTGATTCCCTTCTAGTCCGACGATTCCCAGTCCATTTCACCTCAGCTACCCAACCCTCCCTTTCCCCTCCCAGCCAGTCCTTGCTGAAACAAGAGATAATCCTGTTCATGTCCCCCCAGGTATGCGATTGATCAAGCTTGTCTTTAGCTGTCTTCCATTAGGTCGCAATTGCATGTTGGACCAATGTTCGTATTTGTTCCATAACTTCTCCGTCCTCTACCCGCGCCCCCTCTACCTCGAGGATACGTCGTTTCCACCATATGGTCCCTAGGACGCTCCGCCTACCCAATTTGAACATATTTTCCCCAAATATATTTCCCCGGATTTGAGGGTAATACCCCAAGAGTATGGCCCTCCAATCCCAAGGCCATGCCGCACCGGGAACAATATGTTGCCAAATCCTATCCCAGTTTCTCCATAGTAACACTGTCGCAGGACATTGGAGAAAGATGTGCTCTATAGTCTCAGCCCACCTCCTCCCAAGGAAGCCTTGGAGGCATTTATGGCACCATGGCAGTGCTTTCCCTTGTTGTTCCAACCGAGTGTGGTCTATCAGCCAGTCATTGGTTGGTAGACATTTGTGTTCTATTTGACATTGGAGGGCCGAGATTTTGGCAGGTCTACTGCTATAGTGAGCAAACCATTGGATGGGCTTAAGCAAGCCGCGGTCTATGTTGAGATGGCGATACCACTTGTCTTCCACGCGGTCTCGCAGTCTGCGTTTAGGTCTGAGCATTCGGTAGGCTGATTTGGACTTAATGTATAGTGTCAGCGTATTTGCCTCCCCCTTCCTAGTCCGGGAGTCTTGAGTCCATTGCCACTCATCTGGGTCCAGGGGGAGGTCCTCGATCAGGATCATTGGGCGATACATCCTCTGGTGACATCCTTCATCAATGACCCTGATGCGATAAACACCCTTTCGCTCTTTCCATATGAAGGGTTGTTGGTTCCACTGTAATCTATCATCCTTCTGAATGGAGAAGACTT